TCATATTCTCTCTCTTATACACATATACAAACACACTCACACACCCAGTTATTCAACCCAAAATAGTTACTGTTTTAAAATAATATGATATTGAGTTAAAAGAGAGTTAAAATCATGAGCCCTAAGGATACATTTAATGAATCAGCATTTCAGTTCAGTTTTAGAAATGGAGGTAGTACAAAGGGTCAGCTAAGCCCAGGAATGAGGAGCAAGGCTGTGGGAGTGTGAGCCCACATGGCTGTGAGGGACCAGGACAGGCAAGAAGGGAAGAGACAGGGAGCCCACTCACCACATTCACCACCACCCTGGACTCTTGCTTATCATGTTAAAATATTCACAGTTCTTACATACCTCTTGATCTGATCTGCACTACATTCCTTTGTTATCACAAGACATACACTAATTAGCTCGAATACTTTTGCCCTTAAAAAAAAAAAAAACAGTTCTAGAATTAACAAGTTGAAACAAAATTTTCTTTAACACACACTAATCCTTTAGAATGGATTATATCAATCAACCATCATCTAGTGAAACTCTGCTAGCAACTAAGGAAAACAAAGTTGGATAAATACTACCTTTAAAAACATTTTTCCTTGTTCTACATCCTACTTTGGTGAGTAGCACCTGGGGTCTTAAAAGGCTGCGAACAGCCTTCCACAATGCAACAATTGGTTTCCCCTCCTCTGAAGCAAAGAGTGAAGAAAATCAAAGACACATGGAAACAATTAGTCCAAGGGACTAGTGGACCATGGGAACCTCAGCATGACCCTGAGATGAAAAGAACTAGATGGTGCCCAGCTTCCACTATCAACTGTTTGGAAAGGGATCAAAACTGGAGCTGGATAGAAGTGGGAGAAAAATGTGGACCAAAACTCAAAATCATAAAAAAAAAAAAAAAAAAAACAGGTATACTGGTCTGATACAGACTGATAAAACCTGAGACCATGGCCCCTAGAACTGAACTCACTCCCATGGCTTAGTTTCTATCCAAACATCAGACAGGCCTAGAAGGTGAACAATTGTACCAGGCAGTTACACTTCTTACAACAATCAATCACAGGAGATAAAAAGGGCAGGATTGCACAGGGAGATAGTTCAGAGGGCAAGAATGCACAGAAAAGGACACAGGGAAAAGCAACCACAAGGTGTCAGTGGGAAAAGAACTGTTACATTGTGGGGACTGTAAGCAACATCAGGAAACAAAATGTATATCAACTGTCAACTGGAAAATGAATGTATATGAACTGTCAACTGGAAAATGAATTTTCTCTATAAACTTTCATCCAAATTACAATTTAAAAAAAAAAAAAAGAAAAAAAAATGTTTTTTTCTGAGTTTATTTCACAGTTTTTCTATAGAGGAATTTAATAATTGATGTACTCTTAACATCCAAACACTTCATTCATAGATATGTTGTTGTTGTTATGTGCCGTTGAGTTGGCCCCGACTCATAACGACCCCTCCTTGGGGTTCCAAGGCGGTATCACTACAGAAGTAGATTGCCCAACCTTCTTTCCGAGGAGTAGCTGACGGGTTTGAACCGCCAGCCTTCTGGTTAGCAGTCAAGTGCCTTAGGCACTAGCTACCAGAGATCCTTCATTCATAGATAAGTATTTAATAAATGCCAAGACTGGATGTGGATATGGAAGAGACAAAGATGAATAAGGCATAAATATGCTCTCAAGATTCTCAAAAGCTAGTACGGAAGACAAAGTATATGCACAAATTAAAAGAACCCAAGGCAGCAGGATGTGTATGTATGTGTAAAGAGGCCATAACAAAACCAAGTAAGCCAAACCCACTGCCATCAAGTCGATTCTTACTCAAAGCAACCCCCAGAGGGTTTCCAAGCCTATAAATATTTACAGAAGCAGAATCACTCTTCTGCAGAGCAGCTAGTGGTTCAAACCACTAACTTTTGGTCAACAGCGCAATGCCTTAACCACAGCACCACCAAAGCTTAAACAGTGCCATATTGTTGTTGTTGTTACGTGCCGTCGAGTCGGACCCGACTCATAGGAACCCCTCCTTGGGTTTCCGAGGCGGTATCACTACAGAAGTAGATTGCCCCATCTTCCTTCCAAGGAATGGCTGGTGGGTTCGAACCACCAGCCTTCTGGTTAGCAGTCAAGTCCCTTAGGCA